AAAAATGGTCGACGAGCACAACGGGCAGTAAGTAGATAAAAACGACGGAAACAGGAAACAAAGATTTGGTGCGTTCGGTAACGAAACGGTAAGCCTTCTATGCTTATTACTTGTAATTTTACTCATGGAAGTTTCTGATAAGAGTTGGTCGGGGCTTCCGTTTTGGTGAGTTCCCCTAGGCGGTGTTACAGAAYCGCCATTAGTTGGTACTCCAACCGCAACTCTCGATGGTGGCGGGTTCCAACGAGAATTTTATGGCGGTGAAGTTTGCATAGAGGAAACCCACCTAAAATGCCCTCCGATTTCAGGCGAAGTTCCCGATGGAAGTTGGTTCGGGGCTGCCGTTATTGGAGTAGGGCAAGTGAATTAACAATAAAAACCCGGTTTACCGATTTAGAACCTTTCGTCCGAACATGTCTATATATAGGTGATGAACCACTATCTGTCTTTTTTTTTAAACCTAGTAACTCGGTAAAGAAGGAGAAAATGATTGAAGCGAGTTATAAAACTTTGGAGTTAAGTTAAATTAAGAGTAAAAATGGTGATTGAAGGTTTCATGGTTACGGAGGTAATGCAGTGAGGAAGAAAGCAAAAAAAAAAGGAAAGACATGCATAATCTTCATGTATGCAAGAATATATTAATATTAATAATAATATTATCATTTTATTATTATTATTATTATTATTATTATTATTATTATTATTATTATCATCGTCATCATCATAAATGATATTACTAATACTAATAATGCCTAGTATTTGAAAGTTTATGAAATTATGTACACGATATGTGTGTGGGGAGATTTCAATTGAGATCGAGATTTATATTTTTTTAACTATTTGTGTAGATGGCATTATGGGTACTTAACCAAGGAAAAAAAAAACTCTCAACATCGTCATTATTAGTAATGTAATTACTTTTTAGTTAAAACTATGATCGTGGATTTGTAGGGAGGGCATAAGGCATATCAAGGGACATTGAGATTAAGGACCGTACGGTGAGTTATACGTGACTTTTCTAAAAATGGTTGCACATTTTATTTACAATTATATGCAAGCTTGCTGGATTTTTCTCTATAAAATTTAATATCATGTATGCGTAAAAATATGCCTTATTTTATGAAATATGTCGTGTGGCAATGGGGATGTACTATGGTATGATTCCATAAAGACAAACATGCTGTGTGAGTTTGTCTAAGCCGTAAGTGCGGACATGCTGTGTGAGTCCACCAGGTAATGCTGTGTGAGGTAGTCATCTCCCGTACGCCACTAGCTTTGTGAAGTGTATTGTTTAAACTGTATACATGATAAATTATGACGCTTTGTGAAATCTATTTTTTTTACGTGGTGTATGCATTAAACCGTTAATTCACTGGGCCCTAGGCTCACCCAACTCCTTTAAAAAAAAAAAATTATGCAACCAGGTCGTCTCGTACACGGGAATAGTAGCAAGGGAAAGGAGAAAGTTTAGAACCAGCTATCGCGGAATAAAGACTTGGCGTGGAGACTATCCGGAATTTGATATAGATATCTTTAGACATAAGTTCCTTTTAAGTTTTATTAGTTTTTTTTTTAAAAAAAATGATATATATACTTCCGTTGCGTTGAACTATTTAGATTTTATGGCTTATTTATGTTTGGACGTTATTATATTATGAAAAAAAAATTTGGGTCTTTACATGAACTCTCATCATTTCTATAAATATCTCAATTAATTGTGTTGCATTGGTTGTACAAATAGACATGGTTGCATTTGAAATGGGTCCTATGGTTTGCACCCCACCATAGACCCCATCATTTATTTACCCTATAAGGCTGTAAGTAAATTGCTCCCGGTTGTTCAATCATTTGATAACCAGAGTCATTCTTTGATAAATGATCACTATAAGTCAGACTCAATAAAATTTGATCAATCCCTTTTTCTGTCGTTAAAGTGGAGTTTTTTTAGGAGCTACTTTAGCTCTTGCTCAAAAAGACATTAAGAATTTTTTTTTGTAAATCCTTAGATAAGGATTCAGAAAATACCGGTCTCAATTGGGTTATATGATGTTAGCTCTAGGTATGGGGTCTTATCGCAGTGCTTTATTTCATTGGATTACTCGGTTTAGATTGGTCATCGAATCCGAATATTAACTGAAATTATTGTACGTCAAATAACATCAAAAGTGGATGCAAAGAGACTCAGCGAGTGAACTAGGTTTTGGTATTCCTTTTTGAGCTTCTATTTCTTCCGTTAAAGGAGATTGCCCTGGTAAGGTTCTTCGCTTTGCATCGAATTAAACCACATGCTCCACCGCTTGTGCGGGCCCCCGTCAATTCCTTAGCATATCATAAAGAGATGAAAAAAAGAAAAATTAAGGCGTCAGCGAGGGACCTCTATAAAGTCATTATCTGATAGCTTTCGTCAAGACTTCTCTTGAGATCTGAGTTCCAAAGGTAGGTGAAGTAAGTCTCATGATCATCCAATAAGAAGGGTTTCAATTTTTTCAAATTCACCCGACCCGACAGTACCCATTTGGGGAACGTCCAGTGCCAAAGTCACTGAATGGGTAAGTCGCCAATCCCTAAAACGGAACCTAATTGGTTACTTCCAATTACGTAAATCAATAGTTCAAACCGCGGAGGAACCCTTAGGTTTTCAGGGCATTGGATTGTCACCAATGTTTGCGTTACTCAAGCTGACATTCTCGCTTCCGCTTCGTCCACTACCGCTCACACAGGTGCTTCACTCTAAGACAGAACGCTCCCCTACTGATATATTTTTACATTCCACAAATAGAGGTTGACTTTGAAAATTGGTTTAATTTTCCTATAAAGCTCTTTTCAAGTCAACTACCAGTCACGTCATTCCATACGCATACATTTATTACACATATTTTTATTTATTTTTTATTTGATACACATACATTTATTACACATACATACCAGTCACGTCATTCCATAGGAATCCATACACATACATTTATTTATTTTTTATTTGATACACATACATTTATTACACATACATTTATTTATTTTTTATTTCAATACACATACATTTATTACACATACATTTATTTATTTTTGAAAACTTTATCATTCAAAATATAAAAGTTTAATATTTTTTAAAAATTTTCAGCAG